GAAAAAATTCGCCACTGTCTTAACACACAGACAACCAAAAATACACAAACAGAGAGGAATAAGTTACCAAAAATACATATTTCCTAACATAAAAACATTAAACAACAAATCTTCTAACAAAAATTAACACACAGAGACAAAAAAATAAATGAAACGTCATTTTTTTAACATACCTTTTTTTTCACATGCATATGTTTAGGCTTCCCACCACCATCCTCCAGGTAAGCAATTCAATTAAATTTTTCGTCTCTTAGTCACCTCAGACATACTCAAACGATGGTACCCACACCAAAATAATAAATAGCATGTTCAAAATACAAGACCATACCACTTCCGTGCAACCAAACACAGCAATTGAAAAGAATGGTAAGAACCAAAAACCTGGGACCGTACAAAAGGTTTACTATTAAAAAAAGTAGCCCAAAACTAAATTTATCACAACACGTTGGCAATATTTGAAATAACTCCTTTTTATTGACAAAAAAAAAGTTTTTTTTTTTTTTTCCCTAAAGGCTACTTTCGCCAACATTATCAACATTAGGGTTACCGAAAAACTTATTTGACGCAATGGGCTTCCACATTTCACAAACAAACCACTTTGCGATTTTTTTTCAGACAGAAACCAAGGTGTACCATACAGTAAAGATTAGCCACATCTTCATTTACTACTGTTACAACATAGTACTTCTTTGGTAAATTTCTGCGGTTAAATTCAAAAGTTTAAAATTGCATTAACATGATCAGATTCAGAGTCATAGCTAGGGTTTTCAGCGCGCTCAGGGACAACTGAAGATTTCGCGCCCCCTACTGCTTGCCAAGGATGGAAAACTTTAATTCTAAAATGTTCTAAACATCAGTTTGGCCCCCTTGGATTCTGCACCTGGGGACAGATGCCCCTCCTTCCCCCTCTAGCTACGCCCCTTATCAGATTTTATTTTCTGCACGTAGCTAACAATTACTTATGTGTTGTCAGATAAATGTTACCAGATGCAGTTAATTATTTTTTACTTTACTTGCCAATCTCATGAGACAAGTTTTTTTTGCTCCTGCAAGACTTTACTTTGTGTTGCAAAATAAATTCATTCTCACTCTTTTTGGACTTGCCTACACATTAAATTTAAAATAGTTTTATGAATAGGTAAGATGTGATTATCATAATTTTGTTTCTCTCTTTATCTTGGCAACTTTATATATGTTGATTCAGTATCCAGGTTACCTACCAGTGGCTGATTGATAAAACTGCTCATATGTTCAGCTGGTGGTTTGAGTTTATTTCTGACATAAAAAATTTTAAAAGGCATCCCCCATGTTTATTTTACTATAATCGAAAAATCAAATAATTGCTACTCTGTTTATAGGTACTAAATGTTAAAATATTTTAAATGCTTCCTTTAATTTGCATTCTAATAGTCATTTGTTTAAATTTAATTATGAATTATATTCACATATAGTAATTGTGAGTGTTTTTTTTATTTTAGGTGCTGTGAAAGGCAATGGCAGAGATCCAGTTTATCAAGAGTTCTTATATACATAAGAATACACGGATATAAGATTGTTTTTCAGGAATTCAAATAAAATGTGATAACTTGGATTAATAAAAACTATTTTGAATTTTGAAAAGTGTTTTTTCCTCTGTTAATCATAATATAGTGCCATAAATTTCTGAATGTGTTTATTTTTCATCCAAATAAATAGGTTTACAAAAATTTGTCATATTAATAGATATTGCATAATTTAGCATTATTATAAATATTTATTATAGCAGATTTAGCTGAACTACTTTTTTAGTCTCTCTGCAGATGAAGTCACAAAGGTAAGTGGTTAGATATTTTTCTGTATTCCCCATTAAGTAATTTTATCTGGTAAATTACCATTACTTATATACTAAAGGTGAAAGAATAAGCTTTCCTTGAAAATACAAAAATTTGCAGACATTTCAAAAAAATTGGTATACGTAAAAAAGTTCTTAAATTGCCACATATGCGAAACTGAAAATGTTATATATGAAATAGTTCAGAAATATAAATATTTTCACTATTTTTTAACTATAATTCACTCACTGCATTTGTTATATATAATCACAGTTTAAGGTAGCAGTGCTTTTCTCACTGTGATTTCTCATGTATTTTGATTCATAAATACACGTACATAAATCCACGTATTTTGATTTCTCTTTTGAGACCGAATAAAAAATGAACTAAACATTCTCGTTGACATTGAGAGTTGAATAAAAGCTCACCACCTCAAAATAAAATGAATTAATAAATTTATGGAAAATTTTACATAGCATATATTGAGCAGAAAGAGTAAACTGAATATACTTAATGGAATTAATAATTGGTAGAGTTGATTGCAGAATAAAATGCCTTAATTGCATGGTAAACAGTAGATCTTTTGAAGTTTTTCTATGTTGCGTAAAATGCAGATTTAAATTTTTGATATTGATTGTCATATAAATGGCAATTACTGTTTTATTTTGCTCTGAAATGAATGGTTAGTAATAAAATTCTGGATGAGACAACCTTTAACATGCGCTAGAATTTACAAAGTTTAATTTGGTGCTGATTTCAACAGGTAAATTTCATTTTACTGAATTTTGCATAAAATAATACCAATGAACCATTGCAAATTATTTTCAGAACTTTTTTTTTTTTAATCTAAAAGGGCTATTAGTTTTGAAATGTGACTTCATATTGTCAATCGTAAACTTGTTTCGCTTTTCATTCAAGTCTTGCCATTTGGCAAAATTTAACATATTTACCTTTAAAATCTAATATATTATTGACTAACAAGCCAAGCTATTTAAAAAAAGCATTACACACAGTTCTTAACAATGCTTTTTTTTAATTTTTAATCTGATTGATTTAAAATGCATTTAATTCATGATATATCTAATTGAAAACATTTAATATTTCTACATAATTACATGATATATTTCTTCACTTTTTCAAATATATAGAAGATATATTAACTTTCTGGTGTCAGTATCTTATAAAATGTTTTGCTATTTCCACTGCCCCATCTGTATTGATAATCTATGCATTCATAAACTTTTAGCCTCTTTTGAGTGACTGCTAAAATCTGAGGCCTTTCAGATTTTTTTTTTTTTTTTTAATTGTGTGAGCAGAAAGATAGAATTTTAGAAGAGCTTCTTGAGTTACCTTTTGAATGATGTAAAGAATTGTTAACATAATGTCAAATTTTACAACTAAATATTAAATATATAAAAAAGCCTGCAGCATTCTCATGTTACGAAAACATATTTATTTATTCTGAGGCTAGGAATTGATTTAGTTTTAAAAATACAATTTATTCCTTTTAACAATTTCCCAACAGTGTCATCAAAACACTATAAATTCCTTACATGTTTTAAAGAAAGATGATTCATTTATGTAAAGATTATTAAATGGCTAATTTTATTATTGAATTTTTAATACAAATTAACTGAAATTAGAAACTGATTTTGTAAAATAATTTAATTATGAATAATTCAATTTGGGGGCTATTGGATGTTTAAAAATGATCGAAAGATTTTTAATATCTTAAAAATAAAAGCAAAATTTTCAGTTTTAATATTTTGTATTAATAATTCATTTTAATTTCCTTGCTCAGTTTTAATATATTCACAAATTCAGATTTAAAAACAAAATAAGTTGTATAAATATTTTCAACATTTCTGATTTTTCCATAGTAACCATAGGAGAAGGATTTGAGACTATCTGTGTAAAAAAAGTAGGTTTTAGATCATCACACCTTCACATACTTTCACTGGGGTGTGACACTAAGCAGTTGAGAGTATGTATTTAAGAGGTTAAAGGGATATTGTAACTAGTGTTTCAAATCCTGATAACATCCCATACGCTGTCGGTGGGACGTAGATAGGATGTCCTAAGGATATACTGGGATGTGACATTAAGCGCTCAGGAGGATGAGTTTAGGAGGAAATTGGGATATTACGGGATGTCCTGAGGATGTAGTAAGTAGGACTTTAAATCCTAATAACATCCCATATGCTGTCGATGGGACATAGATAGGATGTTTTTAGGATATAATGGGATGTGCTTAGGAGGTTTGTGGGATATCCCGGGATGTCCTGAGGATGTAGTAAGTAGGAGTTCATATCCTAATAACATCCCGCACGCTGTCGATGGGACTTGGTTAGGATGTCCTGAGGATATCCCGGGATGTGACATTAAGCACTCGGGAGGAGGTGTTTAGGAGGTTCGCGGGATGTCCTGAGGATGTGCGCATATCCCGCGAGCAACATCCTTGGGATATCCCAAGGATGTTTTTGTGCTATGTGGGTCTGTTGGCTACACACCATTAGGACACAAAATGGATCATACACCGTTGCGCATATCTGAAAGAATTCATTGCTGCAGTCATACATGTTTGACATTGGACAGTTTGCTTATGAATAAAATAGATAACTATGTGCATGTAACAGAAGCAATGAGTACAGACGGCTTTCCCTTCTTTCTCACACACAGCAAACGTCAGTTTATTAAACAGATCTTAAAATAATATTCCACTTAAATGAAGGGAACTTTCTGTACATGAACACTTAATTTTCTTCCACTCTCTCTTGTTGCAACAAATTCTAATTCGTACGTTTTCAAACTTTATTAAACTAATTTTAATAATTATTTTTGATATCAAGTGTATTTTATTTTCTATAGCATTTAAATAAACACTTAACTTATATAATCTTAATCGCAAAGATCGTCGACTACGATTTCTTAAATATCTTGGTTCAACAATACAAAACTTTACTTGCACCCCTTATTATTCTTAATTTTTCTGATATATTGCTTTTTGATTTACTTAGGCCCAACGAATGATTTGACATATCAAGTAATAGTTTTTAGTTTTTTTTTTTTATAATACGTAATATTCACAGTCTTTAGCTCTATATTCTCGAAATGTATAGCTTACATCTAATTATAATATATTAAAATGTATTAAAAATTAATACTAAAATATATATTTGAATAAATAATAATGGAATTGTCTTGCAGAAATTTATTAAGAAATACTTGAAGGAATACAATGGAGAGCAAAGAAAAGATCAAGTTTTCAGAAATCCGGAATTCCATTGAAGTTCTTCAGAGTGGTAATGTAAATTCTGACCTTTAAAAGTTACTACATATGGGAAAAAGTGAGAATATGGGTTCTTAATGGATATAAGAGAACATTTTCAGAGGAAATTCAAAATAATTAGATTTAGTTAATTAAAGTTAAAAGATTCAATACGTGGATAATAATTAAATGCTTGTACTGGAAAGCTTTTGTTTTTCTGAATATTTTTATACAATTCAATTAAGAATTTATAGTTTTTATCAATTATTATTTTATTCTTAAAATCTCTATTATGGAGCTATATTTGAATAAGGCTTTTTTTTTTTTTCGTTGTTCTCAGTTGGTTCATTTTGCTTTTCACAACTAACCACGAATTTGAAAGTGGATTTGCATCCATATTATTTTGTGGGTAAGGCAATATTTACTTTTATCTAGAAAAGAAGGTTGTCTTAGGGCATTAGTATACATGAGGAAGAGAGAAAGGGGGAAGCAATATTCTTAGAATACTATTATATTCAAGCCAAAATTTATAGTTTTAAAGCAGTGATAAACTTCTTTTGTGTCACAGTTCTCTCCAGAGGTTAAATTGCGCCGGTACTTCTTAATTTCGAGGATAAATCCTAATTGTAGCCAGAGCCCTAAATAAGAAAGCTCCGGCACTTCATTTATGTAACCGAATAACAAATTCAGCAGAAATTTGATCTCGAAGATTTTATTTTTAATAATAAAATTATTCTAAAAATCGATTTTAACTTCTGAAGGCATGCGTACTTTTCCTTGGGAAACAAACCTTAATGAGAAATCGGGGCTTTTAAGGAAAGAAAAACCTCCACCCACATGTCAAAGGTTTGTTTTTCTGATGGTACAATGAGTTTACAACAGATTGTAAATTTTTCCTTTCAGCGCTAGTGTTCTCCTGAGGAAAAAAGCACCTGCAGACTTTCTCGAAAGTTGTAACCAAAGACGGGGGGGGGGGGATGAAAATTATCATTTGTTGCTTTGTTATTAGATAACCCTCGGATTCGGAGAAAATGTGTTCTGTCACAATTTAGCATACACCTGATTTATACTGGCAAGAGATGGTTGTCAGATGGAATGTTGGATTCTTCTCTTGAATGGACTCTTTTCTTTTTGTTTTCATATTTACAAATCATACCTTAAAATTTTCTCTATATTCTGTTGCTGTTTATAGCATTCTCTCTACTAGAATATGGGCATGTGGAAGGCCTAATTTGAACTTTAAATTTGTTTTATTATCGTTTTCATATTTTGTATCACTTGAACGAATTTTTTATTAACAAACTAAACGATTTCAAAGAGAGCAATGGCACTACGTACGGGAAAAACATTTTTATCTTCAAGCGGCGCGAGACCTGTATCGGAAATTCTAAAGATATGCTCATATTAAAATTATTTTGCGATATTGCTCTTGAACTGAATTTTATGGTTTAAGTGCAATGAATATGATATTTAATAAATACGGGTAACGCACAAAATTTTAAAAAAAGCCCGGCTGATCTTTGGAATATGGTAACTGGTAGTTTTGGCGACATTTTTAGAGGCGATAAAGTTACTACCTGGACTTTGGTAATAATGTGAGAAGCACTCAGTTCCGATTACGCATTATTTTGTGTGAGGGAAATGAGAGATCATGAGATAGTCATGTGACATAATGGACGAATTACAGTTGTTTAATCGGAAAAGGGGGAAATCTGGAAATTTCGTATTTATCTATATTCTGTGTTGTGTGAACGTGACATAATGGACGAATTACAGTTCTCTTTATCGGAAAGGGGGTTAATTTGGAAAAGCTTCATTGTTGTGTTGTGTGAAATAGTGATGATTAATTTTCGGATTGCATGGCGCTATGTAAAGTGAATTCTAAATTTTTAATGCGTTTATCTGATAATAATAATAAGTTGAGATTGTGTGAAAGGAAGGATATTACAAATATTTTTGGCCAAAATTTAATATATATTTTTGGCGAGAAACTTCACGCTGCCATATTATTATCTAAATTTTTTGTCTACATTTTGAACTTTTAGCCTAAAATGTCTCCAAAAACGCGGTTTTCGCACATGCAAAAACTACGTTTTGAACACACAATTTGGGGGGGGGATGAAAATTATCATTTGTTGCTTTGTTATTAGATAACCCTCGGATTCGGAGAAAATGTGTTCTGTCACATTTAGCATGACACCTGATTTATACTGGCAAGAGATGGTTGTCAGATGGAATGTTGGATTCTTCTCTTGAATGGACTCTTTTCTTTTGTTTTCCATATTTTACAAATCATACCTTAAAATTTTCTCTATATTCTTTGCTGTTTTATAGCATTCTCTCTACTAGAATATGGCATTGGAAGGCCTAATTTGAACTTTAAAAATTTGTTTTTTTGTCGTTTCATATTTTGTATCACTTGAACGAATTTTTTATTACAAACTAAACGATTTCAAAGAGAGCATGGCACTACTGTACGGGGAAAAACATTTTTTATCTTCAGCGCGCGAGACTCTGTATCGGAAATTCCTAAAGATATGCTCATATTAAATTATTTTGCGATATTGCTCTTGAACTGAATTTTATGGTTAAGTGCCATGAATATGATATTTAATAATACGGGTAACTCACAAATTTTAAAAAAGCCCGGCTGATCTTTGAATATGGTAACAAGCAGTTTGGCGACATTTTGCTAGGCGATAAAGGTTACTACCTAGGACTTGGGGAATAATGTGAGAAGTATCCAATTCCAATTACGCATTATTTTGGGTGAGAGAAATGAGAGATCATGAGATATATCATGTGACATTTATGGACGAATCAGTTGTTTAATCGGAAAAGGGGGAAAATTTGAAAAAATATCTGCAGTTCTTTATAGCATTTTCTATTTAGGTTCATTGTGTGTTGTGTGAAACGTGACATATGGACGAATTACAGTTCTTTAATTCGGAAAAGGGGTTAATTTGGAAAAGCTTCATTGTGTGTTTGTGTGAAATAGTGATGATTAATTTTCGGATTGCATTGCGCTATTTAAAGTGAATTCTAATTTTTTTAATAATGCGTTTTATCTGATAATAATAATAGTTGATATTGTGAAAGGAAGGATATTACAAATATTTTGGCAAATTTTAATATATATTTTTTGGCGAGAAACTTCACGCTGCCATATTATTATCTAAATTTTTTTGTCTACATTTTGAACTTTTAGCCTAAAATGTCTCCAAAAACGCGGTTTTCGCACATGCAAAAACTACGTTTTGAACACACAATTTGGGGGGGGGGATGAAAATTATCATTTGTTGCTTTGTTATTAGATAACCCTCGGATTCGGAGAAAATGTGTTCTGTCACATTTAGCATGACACCTGATTTATACTGGCAAGAGATGGTTGTCAGATGGAATGTTGGATTCTTCTCTTGAATGGACTCTTTTCTTTTTGTTTTCATATTTACAAATCATACCTTAAAATTTTCTCTATATTCTGTTGCTGTTTATAGCATTCTCTCTACTAGAATATGGGCATGTGGAAGGCCTAATTTGAACTTTAATTTGTTTTAATTATCGTTTTCATATTTTATCACTTGAACGAATTTTTTTACAAACTAAAAATTTCAAAGAGAGCAATGGCACTACGTACGGGGAAAAACATTTTTATCTTCAGCGCGCGAGACTCTGTATCGGAAATTCTAAAGATATGCTCATATTAAAATTATTTTGCGATATTGCTCTTGAACTGAATTTTATGGTTTAAGTGCAATGATATGATATTTAATAAATACGGGAACGTACAAATGTTAAAAAAGCCCTCTGATCTTTGGAATAGTAATGGTAGTTTTGGCGACATTTAGAGGCTAAAGGTTACTACCTAGGACTTTGGGTAATAATGTAGAAGCACCTCAGTTCTGATACGCATTATTTTGTGTGAGGGAAATGAGAGATCATGAGATCTGTCATGTGGACATTAATGGACGAATTACAGTTTTATCGGAAAAGGGGGAAATCTGGAAATTTCGTATTTAGCTATATTCTGTGTTGTGTGAACGTGACATATGGACGAATTACAGTTCTTAATCAAAGGGGGTTAATTTGAAAAGCTTTCATTGTGTTGTGTAAATAGTGATGATTAATTTTCGGATTGCATGGCGCTATGCAAAGTGAATTCTAAATTTTTATGCGTTTATCTGATAATAATAATAAGTTGAGATTGTTGAAAGGAAGATATTACAAATATTTTTGGCCAAAATTTAATAGATTTTGCGAAAACTTCACGCTGCCATATTATTATCTAAATTTTTTCTACATTTTGAACTTTTTTAGCCTAAATGTCTCCAAAAAGCGGTTTTCGCACATGCAAAAACTACGTTTTTGAACACACAATTGGGGGGGGATGAAAATTATCATTTGTTGCTTTGTTTTAGATAACCCTCGGATTCGGAGAATTGTTCTGTCACATTTAAATGACCCCTGATTTATACTGGCAAGAGATGGTTGTCAGATGGAATGTTGGATTCTTCTCTTGAATGGACTCTTTTCTTTTTTTTTTCATATTTCAAATCATACCTTAAAATTTTTCTCTATATTCGTTGCTGTTTTAGCATTCTCTCTACTAGATATGGGCATGTGGAAGGCCTAATTTGAACTTTAAATTTGTTTATTATCGTTTCATATTTGTATCACTTGAACGAATTTTTTTATTAACAAAAAACGATTTCAAGAGAGCAATGGCACTACTGTACGGGGAAAAACATTTTTATCTTCAGCGCGCGAGACTCTGTATCGGAAATTCTAAAGATATGCTCATATTAAAATTATTTTGCGATATTGCTCTGAACTGAATTTTATGGTTTAAGTGCAATGAATATGATATTTATAAATACTGGTAACGCACAAAATTTTAAAAAAAGCCCGGCGATCTTTGAATATGTAACTGGTAGTTTGGCGACATTTAGAGCGATAAAGTTACTACCTAGGACTTTGGTAATAATGTGAGAAGCACTCAGTTCCGATTACGCATTAATTTTGTGTGATGGAAAT